CCTTCCCCTAAAACGTAAAATGTTACTTTAAATAAATCCCCAAATGAACAAGATTCAGTTCCATCATAGCATGTCTTTCAATACAAGTGTAGTAATTCCTTAAGTAGTCCAGAGGTAAAAACAGGGTTGAAAACCTGACCATTTTGAAGTTAGTAGGGATTAAGCTGCTGACTTCAGGGGGTCCAAGTTTTCAGTTAAAATTCTTGCTCCTTTTGGGAAAGGGTGTGTGGGTGCTATCAACAGGTATTAGAAGGATTTTGGCAAGTTTTAAATACATAGGAAGTTTGAAGTGCATTCTACTGTTATCATGATCTAATACAAGTACATATTTTAAACCTAATTTTAATGTATGCCATTTATTTATAATTTTTCCAAAGATTAATTCTATAATTTGAGGAAGGCATGCAGTATTCAGATATAATAAGGTTTGATATTATTTTATTATACAAATTATATTATTTGTTGTGGGTCAGAGTACCATCATTGAAAAGTAGTGGAGAATGAATGATACAGTGTTAATGAACTCTAATAAATCAAAACAGCTTTTAGAACTTCTTAAAGCATTTTCTAATGGGAAAAGAGTAATTTTAGGAAACGGTGTCTTTGCCCCAATAACAGAACAAGTTGTTCTGATATTGCAGAAGAGAAATCACTGTAGACATCTTAATGTTACTCCCCTGTCCTGGTGTGGTTATTCCTCTCTTCTGACTTTGAGCTCAAACTCAGTGCAAAAACTAAATCAGCAAAAGAACACTAGCTTTGCAGGAAGTGAGGTATGTATTTAGAGTGGATATCTGGAAAAAAAATCCTGCACTGTGAAAATAGTGAGGCAGTGGAATAGGCTGCCTGGGGAAGTTGTAGACTCTCCATCAGTGGAGGTGTTCAAGAAGAAGTTGGACAGCCTCTGGATGTTCATATTGGAATGGACTCTGGGGTCATATTGGCCTTCCTCTCTAGCAGGGGTGTGGCCATCTACCTGGGACCTCTTGACCTTATATTGACAACATTTCACAGAAGCAGGAAATTGGCTGCTGTGGTTCCCCTGCTTTACCTGGGCAGGTTAGGGTGTTAGGTCTGTGTGTCAGGGTTGACAGAAGTCTTATGTAGAGTTTAGATTATGGTTTTATGGGATGGTTGTCATAGGGATGATTCTGCCTTAGGCAGGGGGTTGAACTGGATGACCTCTGGAAGACCCTTTCAGCCCCACTTCTCTGTGATTCTCTATTACTCTAAACTGGCACTATAGAAACTTCAGATTACTACCAATCATTAAAGCTGACTACCCTGCTTGGGCTAGAGTCCTTGCTGGGAGTTGTAGGAGTTACTGCCTACTTACTGATGGTGACCAAGGGTTGCGTGTCTTGGGCTGATACCCTGGTCTTACTGAAATCAGTAGGCATTTTGCCACTGAATTCAGCGCATCCAGGATTTTACAACTAGAATCTGTCTCTGGCTCTCCAACTTGTTTGCTGATTTTTACCATGGACACATGCCTCTGTCTTTAATTTTAAACCTTCTTACTTGGAGTATAAGCCAACCTCTAACCACTGATTTAGAGTAGCTTGCCTTTGGAGAAAGTTCTTACTTTCCTAAAGTTCAGGAATTTTTTAACCTGAACCATTTGATACAGGCCAGCCTCAGAGTTAGCTGGTTACTGCATTTGATGAGTCATCTAATCTGAAAATACCCATGTTCTTAGATAGGCATGTAAATTCTTACCTATGTCTTACTCGAGAGTTAAATTTACATGATAATATTTACAAACGTATTTGATATCTTTTGAAGAAATATGTATATGCATGAAAAGAAAGAAATGCAGTGATCTGTAAAGTAATTAGTCCCAACCCTAATGGACAGAACTTTTTTTTTTTTTTTTTTTGGAACTTGATTTTAAAGGGAAACACAAAGTTAGCTTCAAACTGTAAAATGGAAGCTTTAACTTTTTTAAAATTCTTTAAAAAAAAAAAAAGCTTTGCTGAAGACATCTTCTGTGATAAACATACCTCTTGTTGGCTTTTACCAACAATACTTGTTTTCAACAGTTTGAAGTGGGTATTGATGAAAGAATACTATTATATTTTGCCTAACCTGTTTATTATATATAATTCTATTTTTATGCCACAATTATCCGTTCTTTATAGAAGTAAAGAGAAGCCCAAAAGGGGTACCAAACGTAACTGTAAAATCGAAATGGTGTTTTTAGGGTTGTAGTAATTAGTAGCCAGTGCTCATCCATACAACAGATTATCTTAAGCAAAAAATATTAAGAAAGGAGAAACCAAAATAAGCCAGCTATAATATAATGCAGTTCTGGTGATCCAGAGCCAGAAAGTAAAAGAAAATAGGTGTGTAAAGGCTGAAATTCCATTACCTGTGTATTTATGGTTTACCCAAGTTAGGCAAGCGCAATCCAGTGGGAAAAGACAAGGAGTCTTTGTAGGACTGAGTAGTCTGAATCTTCTGAATTGTATCTGCTAGGCTTCTCCCCAGTAACTTGTTGGCAAGCTCTTCTCCTGGCAAACAGAAAGGAATATTTATTTGAGAAGACATGCCACATCAATGCTCTTGTCTTTAGAAGCTTTCTTGAGAGGGACTAACCTGTAGCACTCTTTTTGTCCCTCAATGTAGATCAGGGAAAAGAAATTCTGTACTTAACTAATATTTAAATTAACAATATCTTTTATCTACAGACACCCATTACACATTCCTAGTCAGGAGCCTCCATATCCATAAACAACAATGGTCTTGCTGGCAATGAACTCCTTTTACTTGCTAGGCATCTCCTTATAATGTTATATATTTGATGGAGATCAGTTCTTTCCCAGTATCTAGACCATGACTTTTTGTATTCTGAGGTCTCGCAGTAAATAATTTTGCAACCGAACTGAACCTTGATTGACAGTAAAAAAAAAAAAAAAAAAAAATTGTTTCAGTCACTTTCAGGTTGCAAAAAACTGGTGTGAAACGTGGTCTTTTAAGTCTCTCTGCAGGGCACTTGAAAATGGCAGTTCTGAGTTGTCTGAACAGCCCCGTTCAGCTCGCTGTGGAGTTTAACTCTGAAGTCTACAGTGATTGTTTTACATCAGTATTCATGCGCTGGTTTATTTTCAGATTGTATAAACCTTTTTCCTTGGTGATTTTAAGTGAAGAAAGGCATTCACCTTATATAGCTGTACATTGCTGCTGGATGCAGTAGTAGATAACAAGGGATGTAGGAATGTAGCAAATGGGTGTTAAGAAGCAGAAGTTCAGGTGTACACCAAAACCTTAATTTCCTCGTCCCAAGTTAGAAAGCAAGCCCCTGGGACAGGCTGCCTTGTTATGTTCTTCTTGTACAACACCTAGCACAAAAGGACCCAGCCGTACTTTGGATGTCTGGATGATACCTTAAATGCAAATAAGCCTTACTGAGTCCTCCTCATAACCTTTGCAGCAAAGCTGTCCATTGTTTCCCTTATGAAAGGGACTAGTTTGTGTCACTCATTACTCACTTGTCAAATGCCACTGTTATTACTTTAAACTTTCTATTGGATTAGTATAACAAGACCTTTCCCCCTCTCTCTCCCCATGTAAAGCTGCTGCCAAAGGGATCAGCTGATTAAAATGGTGATGCGGTGACATTTGGAAACGAAATCTTGGTGCGAGGGAAGAACAAAATGTGCTGAATTTTGTTTGCTCTGGGAAACTTTTATGCTCTAATAGCATAGCCGCCGGTTATTTGTATGATGTAAAAGTTACCAGAGTAACTCACTCATCTCTTGCTTAGTCACATGTTAGCTCTGGTAATTACTCTCAATCTGCTAAGACCCAAACATCGCATTTAATGGGTGTGGTAAAAACCAGAAATATAGGGAGTAAAAAATTATATATACAAAAACTTAAAATGCTGGGTGTCTGGAATTATTGTCAAAACTGTCTATAATTTTTTTATGGCTCTTTACCTCTTATTCAAATAACCTTGAGTAATAAAAGTGAGGGGGTAACAAATTTAAGTGAGACACATATACTTTTATGACTAAAAATTATTAACATATCTCAAAAAGAGGAACACTTGAGAGGTCTAGTTCTGCCTCCTGTCCTTTAAACCTTACCTTAGCATAACGTCTTATAGAAATTATAGCAATGTAGTTCAGTACAGCTTTTTCCTTTGAAAAATAAAGGAAATGAAATGCATTATTAAGATTTTTAAAATTACACTCTTTCCATACAGTTCCAACACAGATGTAAACATCACATAAGCTTGGAGTTGAAATAAGGTTTAAATTATGCGCAGGGGACTTTATGAGAGCTCTCCACAGTGGAGTGAATTACACCCTACCTAAACAAATACAATGGGGGGAAAAGGGGAGTGATCATCTACTTAAGGATTTCTGGTTTGGATTTTAGGATATAAAATTAAATTATAGCTTGCTTGCTTTGTGTCTTTCTTTCTCTCTCCCTTTCTTTCATAGACTCAGTTTTGGATTGTGTTGAATTCTGTCTTTATTTGTAGCATTATGTTATTTATCTGAATAGATATTGCTGAAAGGACCCAGCTATCAAGTTGTGTAAATAACTAATCCATGTAATAATGTTCTTATTACTGGTATGCTGGTCATCTCCCCATTTCTGCCAGATTGTATTACTCCCAATTGTATCTTATCTAAAATTATGCTATAGTATACTCCAAATTTGTGTGTGCGTGCATGCATGTCCATGGAACCCTATCCATACAGCATTAGTAACTCATTATTATATTGGGTAGTTACATTTTACTATTTTTAGTGATACTTCATTATATATTAAGAAATATATGGTGAATTATATTAAAGTAATAATTGGAGGCCAACTCATGCTTAGCTGTTAAAATTTGTTTGCAAGTGATGTGAAATCATTAGGGATTTTTTTCAGTCTTGCACATTAACATAATAAGATTTAGTAGAGTTGTAGAATAACTTTAGCTTTCTACAAGTACTTTGTATTGACAATACACAAGTTTGAATATTTGTTTGACATTTCAGATCCAGAATGCTAATGATGTCCTAATAGCACCACTGGAGAAGTTTCGGAAAGAACAAATAGGTGCAGCAAAAGTAAGTTGCTTAGGAACTAAGTCTTATTTAATGTTTGTTTGAAGTTCATGCTAGATGTCATATGTTTGGTTAAGAGCATTGAATAAATAAGATATTTTTGTTCTCATTTAATTTTTACACTGTAGCAAATTAGACTCATTGCTTTTTTAAGAGAAGAGGAACATTTACTTGTGGCATAAGAGAACTGTATATAATGCATATGTTACATCTTCAGGAAACTAACAGAATTCCTTGTTTCAGGTTTCCCAGTTCCACAGTTGTCTTTGTTTTAGTACTTAGGTTTTAATTTGATCCCATAAAACAGAGTTGCACCTCATAGACTAACGAAAATCAGAGATGCATAAGCTGTCTTGAGCAAGAGCTCTCTTTGACAGATGCTGTCTCACAAAAACTGATGTATCTCTGATTTGGTTAGTCTGTAAGGTGTAATTCTACCCTACTTCAGACTGAGAATGCTAACTATCTCTCTTTGATCCTATAAAAAAAAAAAAAAGGCACAAAAATGGAGGTGGAGCATAGCATCTCCTGAGATCCTGCCCCCTTCTGCATGATATCCCTCTGGCTTTCCAGGGGAGATTGAAGTGCAGCTACAGATTCTATACAGCCCAATGATTTCCTTTAGATGGAAAACCCAAGTTGGTGCCTGAAGTCAGTTATACACTCACTTTGTGTTACAAAATAGCACAAAGGTACTGGTGCCCAGGTATCTGTTGCATGCATAAATGAAAGATGTTTCATAGGTATGAGCCCTCAGTATGGAGGGCTGTATTGCAGCCCAGTTCAAAATTCTAAAGTTGGACAAGAGTCATTATCTTGGAAATACATAAAGGGAAAAGCATTCAATGAAATGTATGATTCTGATAAAATCTACTGTTGCTTAGTAGGTATTAAATAGTGAACTGCATATAGAAACACTGTTTATAGACCAAATAGAAAGTCTTTCAATTCTTAATGTTCATTTTTAAAAAGTTCTGGTTTTGCTCTCTAATATGGTTACCAAAAATTAATAGAATCTGCATTCTTTCTACATCTGAGTAGTTTCACAAGTAAATTAATATAGTTTGGGGGGAAAAATGGAAAATACAAATGACAACAGTTGAACATTTGCTGTACTACTTTGGATATATAACAAAGAAATGGAAGTGCCCCTGTGCAGGGACCAAACATGTTTTAGAAGAAATTCCTGTTGTTAACTTGTGGTCAAGCTTATGTGGGCAAAAGGCTTTTCTCTATTCTCATGTTTGATAAGTAGTTTTGTACAACTGCAAGCTTTCCTCATGACACCTACATACATGCTGCTGTACAGATATGGTGTGGGAGTTTGTTTTCATCTAAGCTGCATAGTTAAGTGGATTTTAAGCCCAGCATCAGATGCTTTTTATTTTTCAGGAGTTTTCAATTCTAGTTTCACTACAAGTTGTTCTTTTGTCACTATTTACTTTTATAATTTAGTTGCTGGGGATGCTTCTGGAGAGAATCTTCTGAATCAGCATTTAGAGGCTTTCTTCATTGTGCTGTGGAATCTTTTTGCTGGGGACAGACATTACACACAAATCAGTTTAAGTGATCAGAAACTGGTTTAAACCTGTAACAGAACAGACATTCAGTGCACATAAACCAGTTTCAAAATGGCTAAAACTGGTTTGAAATAAATCTGGTTGAATGTAATATCAGACTTAACTGATTTGGCTTGTCCCAGACCCCTTGCAGGTTTAAATTTAAACCAGACTCCCCCAGCATCCCAGCATGCTCTCTGGGCTAGGTGATCTGCTTTAGCCCAGCTGGGCTGACCCAGCCCCTCTGCTCCAAAGCCCAGGGACAGGCAGGGGCTGGGGGATGGCCAGGGATGGGGTTAATTTCCCCCTCACTGGCCCACTGGCAAGGACACAAGTTGGGTCTGCCTGGTGCTCCCCCTCACTGCGGCAGCAGTGGGGCACCATGGCCCCTGAGGCAGAGGGGGGCAAGGAAGGGGGTTAGTTTCCCCTCTACCCCACTGGCAGCTGTGCCTGCCTGCTGTCACCACCGTGCTTTCTCCCTGAGAGGGAATAAGCCCCCTGCATTCCCCTCTGCCAGACGCTTGCTTTCCCCTCTGCCAGAGGGAGGGAAAATAACCCCTGTCCCTGCCCCCTCCAAGGAGGCTGGGGGTCAGTGTCTGATTGTG